TTAAAAAAGACTCATTTTATTTATTTGAAAGACAGAGTTAAAGAGAGAGGGGGAAAGATACACACACACACACACACACAGAAAAGGGAGGGGAGGAGGGGAGGGGAGGGGGAAGAGAGAGAGAGAGAGAGAGAGAGAGAGAGAGAGAGAGAGGAAGAGGATCTATCTTTCATCTACTCATTCACCCCCAAATGCCCACAATGTCCAGGGCTGGGCCAGGCAGAAGCCAGGAGACCAGAACTCCATCCCTATCTCCCGTGTAGGTGGCAGGGGCTCAAGCCCCTGGGTCATCCTTCCCTCTACTACAATTTATTTAGTGCTTTCTCCTATTTGTCAACCCATTTGCTTCTCTTGGTGGTTCTAACAGATCTGCATAATGGATCTCAATTTACAGCTGAAAGGATTGGATCTCAGAGGGTTCCAGTGACCTGGCCGTAAGAGCAGAGCTGGGATTCGAATCTCCACCTCTCGTATGGGCCCCGAGACCTTGACTCCTGCCGCGTGCTGCCTTTCCAGTTCCCACGCGGTGTTTTCTGCTTACGCTTCCCCAGAAAGCCCAGTGTCCCAAGCCGCTCTGCAGGTCAGGAAGCCCCCACCTGTTGGAGTTCAGCGTTTCCCTTACAGACGGCTCTTCAGGGTAAATGAGAACATAGACCTCTATCTTCTCCCAGTAGTCGTCCTTAATCGTAGATTCCCCCTTTTTCCTCCCTTCAGTGTCACAGGAAAGGCCGCAGCTCTTCCATCTCACTTCAGCCTTTAACAAAAGGGGCTTCCATGCTCGGCACACTCCCACTCAGGTCTCCCGGCCACGCGTCCTTCTCAGTTATCCCCAAGGAAAGAAACAAGAGCACCCCAGGGCCGGTCTGTGTGTGCACCCCGCAGCGAGTCCCACGTCCCGCGGTGCTGGTGAGGCTGTCCTGAGAAAGGACCTCCCCCTCTTTGATGGAGACATCCTGGGGCTTCGCTCTCCAGCCAGAGCTGCCTCCCTAACTTGAACCCAGGGCCCAGTGCTGGGATGACCTGAAGACCTGGTGAGCATTTGAGGAGAGAATGGGTGTGCTGTCACTTATGACTGTCAACTTATGACTCCGGGGTTGAGAGCCTGCCTCATTTCAGGAGTCAACCCCAGCAGGTGGATTTCCATCCTGGTTTACCCAGCTTTGACACACTATTGCTGATTGTGGATCTGCCAGGTGGGGGCCAGGCCACACCCATGCACTCCTCTTTTGTGTAACACCTGTCAGGGTTCATCAAAGCCTCTCACCTGTTACCTGGTTTCGTTGTCACAGTCACCTTGGGAATCTGCTGTTACTTCTTATTTCTATTGTATTTTGTTTATGGGAACACTGGGGTGAGAGTGGGGGTGGGAGCAGGAGGCGCAGGGCTCAGAAGCCCCACCCGAATCCCTGAGGGCACCTCCGTTCCCTCCCCAGGCAGCGGAGCTGACATTTCCCGGGCAGTCTTTTACCTCCGAGTCCCCTGAGATTCACTACAAGTTTGTCTGATCTTCGCTTTTTCCATCTCCCCTGCTCCCTGCCACCCCAGCT